GTTAAAAAATTGTGGTATATATACACAATGGACTATTACTCAGCCTTAAAGAAGAATGAAATGATGTAATTTGCCAGTAAATGGATGGAACTGGAGAATATCATCCTAATCAAAATAAGCTAAACCCAAAGAACCAAAAGCCAAATGTTTTCTCTGATATATGGATTCTAATTTACAATAAGTGGGGAGGGGTTAAGGAGGAATAGAGGTACTTCGGATTAGACAGAGGGGAGTGATGGGAGGGGAGGGGGTATAGGTATGCAAAGGCAGTGGAATGAATCGGCCATTATTACCTTATGTACATACATGATTACATGACTGGTATAATTCTACATCATGTACAACCAGAAGAATGAGAAGTTATACTCCATTTATATATGCTATGTCAAAATGCATTCCACTGTCATGTATAACTAATTAGAATTTAAAAATTCAGGCTCCACTCCAAACCTACTGAACTAGACACTCTGGGAGTCAGGCCAGTAATAGGCAGTGACATGCCCTCTAGGGGATCTTTACCCCCCAACACCATACTGGGTATCAGGCCCAGGGGGGCTCTACCACTGAACAACAACCCCAGGCCTCTTTATATGTTTTGAGACAGGGTATTGCTAAGTTGCAAAGGTTGGACTCAAACTTGCAATCCACCTGCCTTAGTCTCCCAGGATTACAGGTGTGGACCACCATGTCCCACCATGTAGGTGATTTTCTATGCACACTAAAGTCTGAAAATTGCTGTTCTAGTTGTCAAACCAATAGATTGATGGCTTTGGAGGATGAAAAAGCATAGTAATTGTAGATAAAACTGAGTGTATGTACATATATTTTTCTGAGTGGATAGCTATTATCCTTTGTATCTTTTTAATCTATTTTTATTCTTTCTATCCTTTTTATCTATTTTTTTTAAAATCTTCAATTGGGTTTAATCATCCCCAAATTTGGAACTATTTGTGGTTCACCATTATTACCACTACTTGCTTTGGTTCAGGACTTCATTGCAATGACAGTAATTCAGACCCTTTGCTTCTAGTCTCCACCTTTTCCACTTTAACTCCACAATGCGGTGATAGTGCTCTCTCTAAGATGTGAATCTGGTCACAGCCACTCTTGCTCCAAGGTTTTCAATAGCTTGCATTGGTTTATGATCAAGTAACTTTTTTAGCATGACTACATCCTTTAATAAGGTTTATTCTTTTACTTGTATCTCTAGTCATTTTCAGTTTTTGGTCTAGTAATAATAAGCTTTGAATATTCTAGGCCTTCACTTGGGCTCTCACATACTTTCATGCCTTTGTATATTTCACATGCTCGGTCTAGATTACCCTTTACTGTTCTGCTGAGAGCCATAGCCAAGTAGGAATGACGCATGGCAATTTCCTTGTCAGCCTACCCAATGTCGCTTAGAGGGAGGACTCTCCATTGTGGAAATGGGCTTGCCTTGGACCCAGGTCATTTGCAGTGACATTGCATGAATGTTTGAGAGTTTTGGTTGAAAGGTGACCCTGCTCAGGGATTAGGGTGGATCCGGGTTTAGGGTGGATCCTGCTGGGAATAGGGCGTATCCTGCTGCCTCAGGCACCCACTCCTTGAGTTCCCGTTGAGTTCTCGTGGGATTCAGAGGGTATTTGGTACGCAGAGCCCGGTGGAGGTGTATTTTTTTCCCCAGAACGTGCGTGTAGAGTGCTGGTGAGAGTTCGGGAATAAAGAATTGCTGTTTGAATCTACAAGGCTGTGAGTGGCTCGTGATTTTGTGCCCAGCCAGACTGCGGCACTGTTCCTCCCTCCATATATATATATCTTGAACAAAGAAGAAATATATATATATATATATATATATATATATTTTTTTTTTTTCTTCTTCTTCTTCTTTGTTCAAGATTCATTGAATCCCAATAGCTCTTCAAGACTAAGCTTAAGTGGCCCTCCTATGTTCCCAATTCCCCCTGTGCCATTTTGGTCTTAAGACCCCTTTACACTCTGTTTTAGTCAGTAATTGCACTGTTGTGACTAAAGGATCTGACCAGGACAACTCTAAGGAGGAAAAGTTCATTTGAAGGTTCACAGTTTCAGAGGTCTTAGTCCCTAGAAGGCCAACTCCATTCCTCAGGGCTCGAGGTGAAGCTGAACGTCATGGCGGGAGAGGGTGGTGGAGGGAAGCAGCTCACATCAGTAAGCAGAGAGAAACTCTACTCTTCAGGTACAAATATATACCCAAAGCCACACCCAAGTTCCCACCCCTCCAGCCACACCCTTCCACTTCAGTTAATCCCATCAGGAATTAACTCACAGATCAGGCTAAAGCTATAACCCAATCATTTCTTCTCCAAACTTTCTTGAATTGTCTCAAATGTGAGCTTTTGGGGGACACTTCACATCCAAAGTATAACACACTATAAGAAATTATTAGGAATCCTAAACAACTTTGATGTATGGGACAGCTATTCATATTTACCACACTAAAAATTAAACCTAGGAAATTTGATATTTAAAAAACTCTTTGCATTAAAGTTATGGGGCGGGGGCATGAGGAATTGAATCCAGGGGCAGTTTACCATTGAAATACATCCCCAGTCTTTTTTAAAATTTTGAGACAGTGCAACCTGTACATTCAAAAAAATGAGAAATTATATCCCATCTGATTCAAATGTATGATATGTCAAGATCATTGTACTGTCATGTGTAACTAATTAAAACAAATTTTTAAAAAATGGAAAAAAAATTTGAGACAAGATCTCCTTAAGTTGCTAAGGCTGGCCCAGAACTTGGTGATCTTCCTGTGTCAGTCTCCCGAGTCATTAGGATTACAGGTGTGCGCCACCATGACTGGCTAAATGATGCATCTTTATGACAAAATATTTTCCAAGGAAAGTTTGTGAGAAGAGTGGCATTGCTTTATTTTTCAAACCTCTTTAATATTTGGCTTACTAGAAGAAGCTTGATTCGCGTATCTGTGTATTAAATCTGTGGTGGTATGTCTTGTTTGAAATAAATGAAAAGAACCTGACTTCACACAGATAAAGAGTTAAAAACAAACAAACAAACAAACAAAAACTATGTTCACACCCTTTTTGGATAAATCTATTCTTTGATACACCAAACTTGATATGTGGTAGATTCTTAGAATATAATTGCAATGTTTGAAATCTTATAAATCAAACTTTTATATATTCTGGTACACTGTCTTATCTTGCACATGCAAAAATCTTTTTATCTTTTTTTGGTAAAGGCACACATTGGTTAGTTGTTTATTAAGCTGTACAGAATGTCCAAATGTTTACATATTTCATTATGTATACATAATGCAAAAAGATATATTTTTTGATATCATTGGTGAGTTTTTCTTTTTTTGTACCAGGAATTGAACCCAGGGCCACTTAATCGCTACACCACATCCCCAGCCCTTCTTATACATTTTTAATTATAGGTGAACACAATACCTTCATTTTTATGTGGTGCCAAGCATCGAACCCAGTGTCTCACGCATTCTAAGCAAGCGCTCTACCACTGAGCCACAACCCCAGCCTTATCTTTAAAATTTTATTAGACACAGTGTCTTGTTGAGTTGCTCAGGGCCTCGAAAAGTTGCTGAGGCTGGGTTTGAACTCATAATCCTCCTGCTTCAGCCTCCCAAATTACTGGGATCACAGGCATGCACCACAGTGGCATCCCTTATCATTGGTGATTTTAGCAGTAAAGTACTGGCAACCTTTTAAGCTCAAGGAGGCAGATACACGTTCCGTAAAACTTGTATCTTTATATGAAAATTCAAATAAATGCTTTTATTGGAGATTATTCCTACGTGGGCAAATAGCAGAAGTACTTTTCATTTCTTCACACTTATTTAAAAGACCTGTATTCTAAAATGCAGGTTTGATAAAATCAGTTATTTTTTACTCCTTTGTCAAGAATATTCTTTAAGAGAAAATATTTAAAAATTTTGGGGCCAGCCAGGGTTTGTAGTATACTGGTAGAGTGCTTGCCTAGCACGTGTGAGTTCTATCCTCAGCACCACATAAAAAATAAAAAATAAATAAAGGTATTGTGTCCATCTACAACTAAAAAGAAATATTTTTAAAAAATCTTAAAATTTCGTGTAGTGTGACTGGGTGTATGGAGAAGAATACAACATATAAACTACTAGTACATTTTGGTGACATTGTCTTGGTTCCTGGTAAGGTGTCTACCATTGCTTTTAGACCATCAGTGCAAATGTCAATATAGTGAAAAAAGTTAACAAAACCTCAGTATTAGTATGAAAATTGTCTTGACCTTGAGGACCCACTGCAAGGGTCTCAAGACCCTTAGGATTTTGTGGCTAACGGCAATTTGGGAAAAGCTGCTCTGGACTCACATACTTTTGTCTCCCATTAGGCTGCGAGTTCTAAGTGGACCGTCTGTGTCCCTTATGTGTCCTTGTCTAAGAGAGTCTAACATATAACAATAAATACTAATATCTGCAGAACGAATGAAAACATCGCAGAACCTCTGGTTTACTGCTTCCTTCCTTAATTCAATTGGAAACTCCACGTTTTGTGAAAATTTCCAAGATTTTTCACAGTTAGATGGCTGTCTTCTTAAGACAGTTGACGGGCGGGGCGCGGGGGGGCGGTAGTCTCCTGTACTGAATGCTGCGGTGCAGTTTGGGCCTGAATTTGTCGATGATACCGGGTTGGCATCAGCAGGCCAGGCCGCTTGATTTCCCAGTCCGACCTAAAGACTGGAAAGATCTGGGTCTTCCACGCCCACAGGAGCACCAGAACTGGATAGAGTTTTAGGGAAAAAAATAAGCAAACAAAAGCCCCCCAAACACCAATCAAAATCCTGGCGGAGAGAAAAGCAGCACCTAGTGCTCCAGAGACCCCAGGGGCCGTAGGGCGCCGTCTCCGGAGACCCGCCGGGTTGCCGGGGCGACGCTTCCGGCTGGCGCGCGCAGCCCAGGGAGCAGGGGAGTTGTGAAATGGTCGGCTAGACCTGCCCGGCGTCGTGAATTCACCAGCGGGAGCGCGCTCGCGGCCGCGCGTCCTCAGCTTTCCCGGCTCCGTCGCTGACGCGTCGTAGACGTTGGGGAGCGGGAAGGCAGCGGCAGCGGGATCGGGATGAACAGCGGCGCAGGCTTCGGTTTGGGCTTAGGCTTCGGCCTTACCCCTACGGCGGTAATTCAGGTGACGAATCTATCGTCGGCGGTGACTAGCGAGCAGATGCGGACGCTTTTTTCCTTCCTAGGAGAAATCGAGGAGCTGCGGCTCTACCCCCCGGAGTAAGTGCAGGAGCTCGGCTGGGGGAGGGGCGCGGCGCCATAGAGACCTCGGGAACCTAGGCGTGGGGGAGAGCGCGGTCGCGCGGCGCCGTCACGTGATCGCCTGGGCTTACCTTGGTGCCCATATTTGATTAGGGCACCGGGCCCCGCTGCCCCACGTTGCTGCTGTCCGTGTTAGTCAGGTTTTGAGGCTTAGCCTCCGTATCAAGCCCTTACAAAGGATTTGCAGTAGTTTCCTTTCCCATGCCTCCGGAACTTGTGTTATCTGCCTGGTCTTTGAATTCAATGCCCCATCCTTTTTTTCTCTCCCCTATTTAAGATGGCCGCAGGTGGGCCCGGAATAGCCCTCATGGCAAACGCCTGATAACGTTTTTGCACTATGAAAATCGAGGAGCCTGCGCCTGAGCAGCTGCCCAGTTCTTTAGATCTTGGTGCCAGGCTGTTAGTGCAGATTAAGAAGCCTGTGGCTGATGACAAGACGAAATTCTGGTTGTTTTTTTTTTTTTTTTTTTTTACCAAAGGCGAACTCAGAAACTTAGCATCTTTTTGGTTTATCTAACTCAGCCCAGCCGTGTTATTAAAGATAGTGTCTTTTCGATCTTTTGGTTATAGATTAAAATTTCCTGCTGGATGGTTACACTGTCCCAGACTTTTCAAAAACGTGTAAATCGGTGGAGGATTATCTATACTGTACATATACTTTTAAAGTCTGGATTTTGACTCGCATTCACAGGCCGCAGCCACTTCCCAAGTAGTGTATTTGAAGGGTAAATTTCCCTTCTACAATATTATCTAATCGGAAAACTTGAAAGTTGTACGGGGTTTGCGGGCTCCTTACCTTCTTGCATGCATGAACATTTTTTTTTTCTCTTTTTAGAGGTAGATCTTATTAAGAACCACAGGTTTTTGTTCGTTATATCAAACTCCTTTGAAGGAAGAGGAAGTAATTGCCCAAGATTTCTTTCCTTTAAAGAATTTGCATTTAATTTGGCTTATTTCATAATGATGCATACGTTTTGTTTTTTGTTTTGAAATGTTTCGTGCATGCAGAAAAGTTGAAATAATACGGTCAAGTCCCATGTTCCTTTCAAGTGTACTTACTAATTTTTTGCTACAATTGATTATTAAAAATTTTCCGTTCTAATACTGCTTTTTCCCCCTTCCTTTTTTGATCTAGTGTATCACCAGAGACCAGCTATGGCACTTAGTTACTAGAACAGGCTGCTCTTCCCTCACCTTTTAAAAAATCCTTCATGACATTAACACTTTGTTATATTTCCGTTCTGTCTTGTGGAACAGGCCATAATCTGATTTTACAGAGGTTGTTTCTTCATTCAAGTAATATATTTTTGACTAGACTAATGTGTATGTGCACACACATGAATTTTGATTGATTAGCTATGGCAGTATAGCTTTGAATATATGATTTAACTTTTGCAGATGCTTTGAGCCATCTCTTAAGCACTCAGTGTTTCATAATTGAGAAGTGTTTGGAGAAAGGCTGTATCCTGGAAGAATTGGAGTCAGTCATTAAAATAGTCTAAACATGAAACCCTGGGAGTTAACCTTGTGGTATCTCTCATAGGTAGAGAAAATATATCACAGAGCATGGCCAGCCTAATACAATTTATATGATTGAATCCAGGGTTACAGTGGTAATACACTCCAGTTATTATCTGATACTAGTAATGGCATTTAAAAACAATGAATGTCATTACTTGGAGTTTAAAAGTCAAAGATGTTGCTTTACAATAGAGTTAGTATGTCACAAATTATTGGTAAAAATGTAGCATAAATATAATACACATAAGCCAGGCCTATTGAAAACTCAGGTTTTAAAATTTAGTTCTTTTGGCATAAGCCAGTGATTCAATTTCATTTTAATTTTTTAAATAATGAAATTTTTGTGTTTATATAAACATTATTTTTATTTGTAACTTGTCTTTTTTTTTTTTTGGTGCTGTCAGGTGGTTAAATATCCCAAGTTCTCAGCCAGCCTGGGCAAATTAGTAAGACTCTGTCTCAAAATAAGTTAATAAACAAATAAAAATAAAAAGTACTGGGGATGTAGTTAGTGGTAGAGTGCCCCAGGTTCAATCCCAGGAACATAAACCACTCACGCCAAGAAAATACATCTAAATCAAGTGATTTCTTAGTTTTTCTGTAAGTGCAATATAAGATCCCACATTCTTCTCATTCTTGTTTTGTTATAGTAGAGACACGCTTTATTAACAGGTTTTCTGTTTCATCATGCAGTTATTACCTAGTTTTTATATTAAAGATGTTTTTGCAAATTTGTCCTGGACTGGACAAAAGTACAGCAGTAGTAGTTGTATTGAAGATACAGAATTGTTTTGTACCATCCTAAAAACAGTATTTTTAAAATTTTGTCTTTGGAACCTGAGTAGACATTTGTTTGTTTTGAAATTGGAAATAAATTTGGTTTTGTGTTGTATGTGAAAATGTTTTTTTTACTAAAATTTCATGGGACTGGGGACGTAGCTCAGTGGTAGATTGCTTGTGTATTATGTGTATAGTTGTTGTTTCAGTCCACAGCACCATACATACACATAAAACGTATGATTTTAGTTGCTAAAATGAAAACTTGGATTTTAAAATTTAGTTCTTTTGGCATAAGCCAGTGATTCAATTTCATTTAAATGTTTAAATAATGAAATTTTTATAAGTTTATTATAAATATTACTTTTATTTGTAACTTGTCATTTTTTGTGTGCTGTCAGGTGGTTAAATATCCAGTTACTATTTTAATTTTTGCACAGTAAGTGAATCTCATAGCTTATTAAAACTATTTATACACGTAAGGCATTTTTGTTTTTTCAGCAAACTTTTTATTGAGTTGTAATGTGCAGACAGAAAAATGAACAGATTGTGATTGTACAGCTTGATAAAGTGTCACAGAGTAAACATGCCCAGGTAACTAGAATACAATCAGGAGTGTAAGCCCCTAGCAAGTCCCCTGTGCCCTTCTTCAAGTGACTAACCCCCAAAGGGTAATCCTGTTCTGATTTCTGACACTGGAGATTTTACCTGTGTTGTTTTTTTGCTTGCTGGTTTCCTTCACTTCTCTGGTCTTCAAAAGTTCCAAGAATGAAAGGTAAAATCTATCAACTACTTATTTAAGCTTATTTAGTTAAAAAATTAATATTATCAGTATAATTATTTTGTTGAAAATATAGAAAAAGAAACAATACCTGTGATCCTACCATCCATTACAACCCCTCCATTTGCATATATTACCCTCCAGTTTTTTAATGTGTTTATTATAATGTATTATCAAAGGATTGATACAGTTCTATAAACTTTTTTCATTTCAGCTGTAATAGCATTTTTCATATCCCCATACTTTGTTTATAGTAATTTTTAAAGACTGATATGTGTTTGGAAATTCTATCATGAAATATATTGGTATATTTTAGCTGCATCATTTAGTGGTGTTTTTGATTGTCAGCAGTGATTATTAGTGGTCTTACTGGCAGTGTTAGTAGTTCACAAGAAAGCCTTCTATAAGGAGAAATTGTGCTGTGTAAAGTATCATTGGAGCCCTGTGGAGAAGCCCTATGATAAAATGATGCATCAATTAATATTTCCATACATAAAACTCGATTTTGCCCATGTTTATTATATTCTTTTTTATATTTTATCTAAAGGATGATACTAATGTCCAGGGTACATTGATGTAAAATGTAGGATATATACAATCTTGGCTTTTGAAAATGTGCCATCATCATGTTGAATGAAAGAAGAGAAAACTAATGTTCAAATCAAGCTCTACTAATTTTGGGTATTGCTACTTCCCGTGGAGTCTTATGTTTAGACTAGTTGAATTATGTAACCTGCTTTTATAATTAAAACTGTCAAAATTAAAAATGACAATCCTGTTTAAGTATTTCTAGGGACTGGAGATGTGGCTCAATGGTAGGGTGCTTGTCTAGCACGTTATGAGGCCCTGGGCTTGATTGCCCAGCACAGAAAAAAGAAAAAGTGAATTTATTGGTTTTAGATACATTAGAGAGAAAGATCTAAATACAAGGTTTGGAAACATGCTGATTTATAAATACATACACATTTGCTTGCTGAGATTTGTCATCTCTGTGGAGGCTTGCCACCATCATATATTAGTATTATATTTAAAATAAAGTGTTACTGCCTCTCTTGAAAATCTTAGGTATTTACATTTTTACAAAACAATGTAAGTTGGGCTTTACTGTATTTCAAAGAGGTAGCTGGAGGTGAAGATTAAGAAAATGCTTAAAGCTGCAACGCAACCATACCTCACTTTCATGCTTAATAATGGTTTTTAGAACAAAATAGACAAAATATTTTTAACCAATTCCTAGGTTTCTCAGATCTTGGTGTCATGTCTTCACATGTAGTAGTTGTGCAAATCAGTCCCAGATTTTCTGTTTCTTTGGATATTTAAAATGAAGTGGGTTTCAACTAGGGATAGTTGGCAGTGTGTTTTTAATTTTCAATGATGGTAATTTGGTTTTCATTCTTTCACAAAAGGTCTTTCAGTTTAGGTAATGAAATTAAAGTGATGGTTTGTCAGGTTTGTGAAGATTTCAGAACTAAAAGAGTATTCCTGTTGCAATTGCTAGGGTATTTTTAGTAGGTCATTGTAATCATAGATTTTATTTTTTGGTTGCAAAGGACAGAAACAGTGTTACCCAACAATCTACCTTAAGAACAGACAAGAGAGTTGATAATGACTATAAAACAGAGAGGCCTTTTGGGAAAAGGGCCTGGGAACCAGAAAGGTAGTTCAACAATCAAGGTGATTGCCTCTTTCTCTGAAGAGGCTTTATTGACAGGTATGTTTCTGTATATCTACTCAGTTTCTTTGCAGATCTATTCTGTATTCCTTCATCATCTGGCTGTCACTTTTCAGCCTAACAGAAAGATCTAAGTGTTTCAAGTTCATTTAGTCAAGCCTGACTACCCAAATTATAGGTTGTTGGTCAGCAAGTGAAATGGGCTTTTGTGATGGTTTTGATCAGTTGTGGCTAGATAAGCCAATAGGCTCTTCTAAGGGTTTTCAAATAAGGAAATTGTGATGGTGTCTGTGCTGAAGCTGCATTGATAGCACAGACAGGAGGTATTTTAAGATGACTTACCAGAAGACATGACACTTGAGCCAAGTTGGGACATTATAGTTGATGCAACAGCAGGTACAAAGACCCAGATGTTTAGGATGTTTTCTTAGAACCACAGGTATTTCTGTGCCTGGAGTTTTGGATATACTTAGATGATGAAGTGAGAACAGAAGGGTGCCTTTGAGGAAATGTAATCTGTGGAGTGACACAATGCAATTTAGGGTATAGAAGGGTCTGTTTTTGTGGAAAAACAGCAATAATGGATTGAAATTGGATGCAGTGTGGTTGGTTAGGAACCATTATAGTAATTTAGGTGACAAGTGCTGAATTAAGGCTTGGTAATGAGAATTATGAAAGAATTAATGTGACAATAGTTGGGAGGTAGACTCAGCAGAATTTATTGGATGAGAAGATGAAGATCAAGGGCAATTTGTCAGTCAGGATAGGCAGGGTTTTAGAAACAAACCAAATCTCAGATTATTTCTTATGCTAAATTGGTGGGGTTGAAATTGTACTCATTGGTGGCATTGTGGGATGAAGCTGATGAATCCACCCTCCATCCATCTCTTGAACATAACTAGTCACTGTGTCAGAGAAAAAGAGACAACCAGTGGTTGGCTCTTTTAAAACTTTTACAAGTTAGACAACATTAGTTCTGCTCATGTTTAATTGATCAAAACAAGTTACAGGGCCACACCTTTGTTCAAGGAATAGAGAAATGGAATTTACCACATACTCAGAGGGAGCTTTGGAAATATTTGGTAAATAGCACTAATAACTGTGACTTCCAAATTACAGACTTGGGAAGAAATGTGAAGACATTTTTAATTGAGATATGAAATACAGACACAGGGCAGGCTTTGTAAGAAAAAGAGAATGGGTAATGTATTTGGATTTAATGACTTAGGGGTGGATGAAAATGTATTGTCAGCCCTTGGATCTGGGTGTCTAGAGCTCAGAAGAAGCTTAAATTGGAGATTTGGTAACATAAACATGGTGGGTAAGCATGAATATGGACATATTTACCTCTAAGGCAATATATGAAATGCTTTGACTAAGATAGTGGGTAAAGGGGGATTTTTGGTGAGGATTGGTATGAATCCTGGATTTGGATGAAATTGAGTTGATTAGAAAAGAGGTAGTTTTTTTTTTTTTTTAAACTAAATTAGCCTTAGCAGTATGTTAATGATAAATATAGTTTTAAATGCAAATACATTTTATCTGTTTGGCTTAATAGCATGTATGTAAATTTAACCGTTATTAATGTGGTTATTCTACATTGTTTAAAGATGGATTTGTTGCTTTTTGTGAGGGATTACAGAGAAAGATTTTTGAATTTTAAAATGACTAGTATTTGTGGAATGACTAAATAGTAACTGAAAATGATGGGGTGTTTTTGTGGGGAGATGTATACTGGGGATTGAAACCAGGGCCTTGTGCATGCTGGGTATGTTCTGACTCTGCCACTGAGCTATACCTTTAGATCCCCAGAATTTTAAAATTCTTGATTGGTTGAATGATTAAGATTTCATGAGATTTGGATTTACATGATTAGACTTTAAATCTTGACTTTGCCATTTTCTAGTTCAGAGATGTGGCTAACTTATTAGAACTGTTTAGTAACCCACAGTAAATTACTGTTATTATTCCAGTTATAAATGATGTTTTTCACATGATATCTTTTCTTTTTAGTGTAAAAAGCTTTCAAATGAGTGTGTATTTATATTATAGATTAGGTATATATTTAGGTACTTTTTTCCTGCTACAGACAATTGTAGATTTTGATGAAAAATAATTATGGATATGTTGACAAAATGTCCACAAGGGTAGTAACTTTTAGAATCTAACAAGATAGATTCATATATGGAAAAATTCCTTTTATTTGTGCTGTGTCTGGTTCCTTTTTACTATAGGTCTGCCCTAGATGGAATTGAATCAGTGAATTAGAGTCTACACTATTTACTATAACAGCAAAATGTGTAAAATTTTGTTTATAATTTTTTTGGGGGGAGGTCTAGAAAATCACATTGCCATCTATCCTGAAACTAGCTGGTATATACATAAAAACCTTAATTTAATTTCATATTACCTGGTTGTTTCTAAGACTACCATCAAGTTTTAATGACTTTTTCTTTTTGTGTTGAGGATGAACCCAGGGACTTGCACTTGGCAAGTTCTCTACCACTGAGCTATACACCCCAACCATGTTTTTAGTGATGCAAATGCTGGGGAATCACATTTAAAAAGGGTTGGGATGGTTAGAAAATTTGAATTTTTAAGAAGTGGAGCTTTCATAAAGGGATTTTTGCCTATTTAGGATGACACAGTGGTTGAACATTTTTGGTTTGCATCAATTGATTTTACATTTCACTGAGATTCAGGACTGATTGAGTTTTAAGTTTTATATATAAGGCTATAGATCTGCCTAGATTGCCTCTTTCTGGTGAGACATACCACCATTTAGTGTTTTAATGATCACTTGCAACAAAAATTTCCCAAGTCTTGATTAGGTAAGAGTACGAAAACATGTAAGAAAGATTTTAAGTGAAAATGACAAAACTAAGCAAATATTTATTAGTCCAATTGTTTTTGTTTTTATCTTGCAGCAACGCTCCTCTTGCTTTTTCCTCCAAAGTATGTTATGTTAAGTTTCGTGACCCATCAAGTGTTGGTGTGGCCCAGCATCTAACTAACACGGTTTTTATTGACAGAGCTCTGATAGTTGTTCCTTGTGCAGAAGGTTAGTATCTCACATTTTTTTCTATTATTTTAATTTCTGTTCTGTTTCTGTAGCCTTTTGGCTTCCTACAAATTAGCAAGCAGACAGTACTCTGATGTGTGTGTGTGTGAGAAAGCAAGAATGAAATTTGGAGAAGAAAAGAATTTTTACCTAATGGTAAATTAAAGCGGTTAATTTATTACACATGTATGTTTAAGATTTTACAACTGCATAAAGTATTTGGCTTCTTGTTTGCTTTAGTTTTCTTTAGGAAATTTACAGATTGTGAAGAGAGCTTTTTATATTTAAAAAATAGAAATGGGTATGGGAAATTTTTTGGACTTTAAATGTACAAAGTAAACATCTACCTGTGTATACAGTACTAATAATATTACAAATAAGAAATGTATACATTTTGCACAATTGAGGTTAAGTGATCTTTATAGGAAAAATATTCTTAATTAGTATCTTCAAGTATTCTTTTAAGATAACTTTATTTTTACTGTGAGATGATTGTTTCATCTTCAGTGTATAGTGTGCTATGCAACTGGAATTTACTTGTTTAAATTGGTTCTTTTTGGAGGGTAATTGAAGAAAAAATCATGGTAAGCATTTTTTCAAAGCATCCGTCAAGGAAATAATAGGAATAGGACCCAAGGGTCTTACATGTATTTGTTAAATTTTTATGACTGCTTTAAAAGCTAATTATTACTAATATTTTTAAGTAACTTACTTTTTTACAGAACCATTCATATATAATAGACTACGTTGAATTTTGGTGTATAATTAACTTGAGCACTATGGCATGTGTACATGGATTTTAGAATTGGGTTATTATAAATTTAAATGCCCTTACAAGTAGATAATTCCTGGTGGATGATGATAACATATTTTACAACATTAAAGTTTCCAAGACACAATTTAATGGGCTTTCATGTGTAATTTTAACACCTCTTATAGTAACCAGGTTAATATTAAAACAATTTAATGTATATAAGCAGTTTGCTGCATTTTCAGGGTTTTATTCCTATTTCAGAATGTCTGTTCTGGAAAGTCAAAAACATTTTAGTCAAATACAGTGAGTACCAGGCTGGTATTTTTGAAGTTCCAGAATAGGACATTCTGGCTTTTTTTCGGATAAATTTGAAAGGGTCTTCATCATGTTTGGGTGTAAGGGAAATAAAAATTGATTAAAGTTAATTATCTATTTATATATGTCTTTATCTGGAGTTCTGTAGAAGTACAGTGAGCCCCAAATTGGAAAATGAATTAGGAATGAAGCTGATTAATGGTTTAATACTATATAGTTTATATTGAAATTTCATACCAAGAAACCTCATTAAAAGAAAAATCAAGTAGAAAGTTTACTAAACTGGAATATAATAACTGAAAATTAAACCACCAACAGCACAGGGTCTTTTATTATATCAGATCCCATTGAATTGGATAGAATTTTTTAGCAGTGTTGCTTTGTTGGAACCTGGCTATATTTCCATAGAATGTTTCATGTATCAGATAAGCCCTGACTTGTCGTAAATGGTCAAGGTTATGGGCATGTAGATATCCCTTTTACTGTTTGTTTTACTTCATAGAGATGAATAAATGCACAGTTTTTTTTTTATAATTTCTAAGTATTTTTAATATTACCATTTAGAGACAAAGCTTTGCTATTTCACACATGAAAATTTAAGCATACTTTCATAGTAATTTAGTTATGTGTAAGTAAATATTTCGGAACATATTAGAAAAACCTTTAGATACCATTTTTCATTAGTTATATTAAATACAACAGAGATGAATTTATGGAACCTGAAGAATTTCATATTGAGCTGCTAAAAGTCTGATCATGCACTGCCAGGAAAGAAATAATGCATTATTGTACTAAAAAAGATAGTATAGTGGGTTTGAAATAAACCCAAGGAAAGCATTACAGTGGAGGAAGTTCTATTAAGAATAGATGTGCTGTGGTGTGGCGAGCAGTCTGCTCTGCACATCACCGAGTGCATTCTTTCCTTGATGTCCTAGAAATAGTCATGATGTAAATGAGAGGAATCATAGAAAATTTTTTTTAAAGTTTTTTAATTTGCTGTTTTTTTAGTTCAGACAGTGACATGAGAAATCCTAATCTGTAAAAGTAATGTTTGATGTGTAACAGGTACATACTTACTAAGCATTAACTATTGTTAATAAAACATGCCATTTCAAAATAAAATATACTTTCATTATACTTGTCTAAATATGATCTCTTTTTGTTGTTGCGTGCATTTCAGATTTCTTTTTATAAATGTTAACACTTACGAAAGATAAGGTCAAACATTAACAAAGGTGTCAGCCTAATCATCAGTCATAACTTTATGTCCACATTTTCTGGTAGATGGATTTTGACTATTAATTTGGTTTTGTATGTTTTCTCTATGTGATATTTGTGCATTATTAGATGACTAGACTGGCCAAGGCAGACCTGTTACACTTGCCTGAGTTAGGCATTGTTTGCCATGCCACTAAACCTGCCGTCAAGTGAAACCTTCATTGGGGAAATGAGATCGGAGTCTGAACCGCAGAAGATGGACGCCCTGTCTCTGTTTTTTATTGTTTTACTTTAATTTCATTTCTTTTTCTTTATTTTGTCCCTTTTTTTTTTTGTTTTTGTTTTTGTTTTTGTTTTGTTAAATCTCTCTCACTTTAACTTGTGAGCTGGTTTTCCAGTTCTTTGTAAATGGTATTCCATTAAGGTTCATAACGTGTTGCAAATTATATTGGGAGATAATTAACACAGCTCAACCTTAAGACAGAATAAATTTTTCATGCAGTAAATTAAAATATAGTGTTGAGAAGCTAGTGTGAGTCTTAATTGGTGTTTATAGATTGATCAGGTACATTTTATACTTAACATTAAAACACTTACAAGGATCTTAGGAACACTTCTTGATCTTAGTGTAACATTTTTGTAGTTTCCCTCCCCACTCCAAGACTTTATCTCATAAAAATGAATGGATGGCTTTTAATTTTCATCCGTCCCCCTAGAATTCTAGGCATACAAAATCATCAAGGGAAATAAGCAAATTTCTTACAGTGCATTGGTATGGGGAAGGTCTTTCATTTTATGATTGTTCATTATACATTTTATTTCCTTGTCTTATGAAGACTTTGTTGCCTATGTGGGGAAAGGATATTTGAGAAAATATTGATTATTTATTTGTGTGCGTGTTTTTCTGTTTGCTTGAATTTTTTGTTGAAAATTCTTCAGAGGTTACCAGTTTCTAAATAGCTTCCGAGGTTAGGACTCAAGTAATATGAGAGATACTATTTTTCTCTCCATTACTAAGGAATATAGTTTGGGGAAAATGCTAAATCTGATTGTTTAAATACTTTTATATACTCTGATATTATTTAGAGGATAAATTTGATAGGATTTTATTTTGGAAATTGAGCAATGGAACTTTTTCTTAAAATACCTTTAATAGAATAAGACAGGTTTAATTGAGCTTAGAGTTCTAGATTACTCTCATGAAAGGCAATGATAATCTGACAGACTACTGGTATTGAAGCCAAAAGAGACTTTCTAATACTAAGTGATCAACTTTTGGCCCATTTAATCCCCTTTTTGTTTGTATAATTTTTCTACACTGTTTTTATGGATAGTTTGGCTTATGACAAGTAATATTAAACTTGGAAATCATCTTTTTTTTTTTTTAGGTGTATAAATTTTAGGGTACTGAAGCATAGAGTTTTCACCTCAGGACCCCAGTTTTATTAAGGATATTCAGATTTTATAAACCTTTTTTTAAAAAAGTCTACGTAACAGATAAAGTGAGTGTGATATCAGTGTAAATAGTATAGTATCAATGTGGGTGTACAAAAATACATGTGTTAATAAGTATTTAGTAACTAACACATACAAAAATAGGTTGTTATTTAATGTCTTCAGTAAGACCTACCTTTTGTTTATCTTTATGCATGTTAAACAATCTATTCTGTCAGAATTTACATTGAAATAATAAAAGTAACTTTTTGAAATTAGGCAAAGTAATATAAATTTAGATGCTGCAGAGTTCTTAAAGCTACTACAATGTACCTTTTATTCTGTTCCTGTAGATAAGACATAATTAATATTTAAAGCAAGTTTTAAGTTTCATCTTGAATTCCATCCATGTTTAGAGAGATATTCAGATAATAACGTTCAGAGATTGATCTCTATACATGGTTGTTTTAAATAGGATTTTTACCACTGCAACCAGGAAAATTTACTACATAATATTATATTTCAGCTTAGTATGATTTTGTACACTATTTTAAAACATTTTTGACAAGTTCTTAACGGAAATGCTTAGCCAACTACAGTATGACTAGTTCTAAATGTATCTACACTTAGTCAACTTTTACAGAATTTTTTTTTTGCTAAGATAAAAATGTGTGAAAGTTGTGATCTTAATAAAAATTATTTGATTAAAATCAGCAGTTACATGGCAAATGATGTACTTTTTTTTTCATTTTTTTTAGGTTGTAGGCATTTTTTTAGTTTTTAAGATTATTTTAGTGTTACTATTGTTATTAACCATTTAAAATGTTTATAAGCAAGACATTTAAGCATTAATCATTTCTCTTCAGATAAGTATATATGTAAATTGGTTCTAAAAGTTACATTTTAAGAAGTTTCCTGAGACTAGGGAAAAAAATTTTTTGTCATTAATTCTCACAAAGTTTTAGTGATTATTATTATTTTTTCCAAGGAATATTCTTTGAAACTGGATTCTTTTTAGGCATCATTGATCGTTGTTGGTGAGAAGCCTTATTAACAGAATGGGTATAGGCTTCCTTTTAAATTGAAGCTGATTACATGAAGTAGGTTTATGTTTTCTTCTGTTTATTTGAACTTGAATCTGTTGGAGGGTTATCACAATTGTTTGCATCACAAGAAGATAGTTTCAGTAACAGAATAGGGGCACTCATTAAGGAACAAATTTCAATTCGCACATATTTGTTTTTTCTTTTTCTTTTTTTTGACTAATTTGGTTATTTGCCATTTCTGGGGATTAAACTTTAAAAAATGTTCTTCTTTTCTGTATCTGATGTTCTGTGTGCTATTAGTGATGCAGCCAACACGAACGGTTGTCATGTGTAACACAACTTTCGATCACCGCGAAAACACCGTCCTGGGAAAGCGTCCATGCTTGATATCGTTTGGTTCATGAACATTAAGTTTCCAGTACAGGTGACCCATAGCTCAAAGTGTTAAATAATTGTCTACATTATTCAATTTTTAAAATAATATTCCATTAATGAGATTGTTAGTCTTTGAAGTTTTGCTCACTTTTATTTTTCCTAGTAGAGCCAGGATAAAAGGAAAGACTTAAGTTCTTATTTATTTCTTTATACGGATCTGATAGATAGATTCATTTATTATTATTATTTTTTAAGTGCAAGGGTAATTGTAAAATCATAGTGTAAAGTTGGTGTGGTGTTTCTGCTCTCGGTAATGTTTGGAACTTGCCTCTGCAGGTAAAATCCCAGAGGAATCGAAAGCACTCTCTTTATTGGCTCCTGCTCCAACTATGACAAGTCTGATGCCTGGTGCAGGATTGCTTCCCATACCAACTCCTAATCCCTTGACTACTGTAAGTATTGTACTATACATAAGTAAGTACCTTCTTATGAAAGGAGTGAATATTGAACTGTATAATCTGTTGGGTAAAGAGATTAGACAATTATTTGTATTCCTAGCCACTGAGGAGTGTGAAGCCAGGAGTATGTCACAAGTTTGAGGCCAGCCTTAGCAATTAGTGAAATTCTGTTTCAAAATGAAATTCAAAATGGACTGGCGAGGTAGGGCAATGGTAGAGCTAGAGCACCCTTGGTTTTAGTCCCCATTACTACTGCCCCGTACCCCCCCCAAGAACAAAATGTTTTTGTTTTTGCTTTAACCATAGGATAAGTGAGAACTTACTATTTTAGATTTTTGCTTAGGTAAATTTTTCTGTTTCAATTTGAGGTTATCCATACTGGGACCCTGCCTTTACCACTTGTTAGCCTAGAAATTTTTGGCAAATTAATTTTTCCAAGTTTTTGTTTTTTTTTAAAGACCTGTGAAATTGACATAATAGTAATGCCTACCTCTCAAGGTTGGTATGAGAATTAAGTTAATAACTCAGCAAAATGAGATGCTATGATAATTGTTGATGATTAGGACTTACACAGTGTTTTTTAATGACCAGCATACAGTTAATCCTTATTATTTGTGAATTCACTTACTAAGTAGTTTTTTTGAAACCTCAAAATCATATTTGCAGTGCTTTTGTGGTCATTTTCAGATATACAAGGTGATGAGAAATATGAGTTGCCTGATGTACATATTCCCAGATTATGTCAAGCAAGGTGACACTGCCTTTTTGTTTTGGCACTCATGCTATAAACAAGCATACTTTTGCAATCTTTTAGTGCCACATTTTAAAATTTTGTGTGCCTTTTGTTGTTGATTTTGCTATTTAGATAGGTCCCCAAGCCAAGTCCTAAATAGTAAATGCTTAGGTAAATTGTGGTGTACCTTATGAAGAAAATGTGTGTTAGATAAGTTTCTGATTTGTTGAGTTGCTAATCATGAGTTTAGTCTCTCTCTCTTTCTCTCTCTCTCTCTCTCTTAAAATATATATATTTTTACGGACACAATATCTATTTACTTGTGGTGCTGAGGATCGAATCCAGTGTCTCATATGTGTGAGACAAGCGCTCTACCACTGAGCTACATCCCCAGCCCCATGAGTTCAGTCTTAATGAATCAACACATTAACTCAGGTGCCTTCAAACAAACATAAAACAAAATTATATATTTATTAGTGATGATGAGTGTGTTATGGTCAGAGGCTTCTAGGAACTTAATCTTTTATTTTCCTTAGGAACATGGTTCAATAATCCAGTAATAATTCATTATTTATAGAAACTTTATAGGGTATAACTACTTTGACTATTGAGAACCAACTATTCATTTTTAGTATTAAGTTTAAAGGTAGTTAAAATTCCCAGATAGTTAAGAAATTGGTTATATTTCAGTTAGGTTCAAAATTAATGTGATTTCCATGTCTTAATAATTCAGAAAGTTCGGAGTCTTTAGTCTCCTTCTAGTCTTTTTGAGTTGATCCATTTTTGTCAAGATTAGAGAATGGTAATTTGGAATACTAATACAAAATATGTTTTCTTGTTTTTTTTTTTGTTTGTTTTGTCTTCTTACAGCTTGGTGTTTCACTTAGCAGTTTGGGAGCTATACCAGCAGCAGCACTAGACCCCAATATTGCAACACTTGGAGAGATACCACAACCACCACTTATGGGAAATGTAGATCCTTCTAAAATTGATGAAATTAGGAGAACAGTCTATGTTGGAAATTTGAATTCCCAGGTAACTAATTTAAGAAGAAACAGAGGGCAATAGTTCTTTTTTTCCCCTCTTAAAAATCATATTGATTGGGCTGGGATTGTGACTCAGTGGTAGAGCACTTGCCTAGCGTGTGTGAGGCACTGGGTTTGATTCTCAGCACCACATATAAATAAAAAATCATAAAATAATAGCTCTGTTAAAACTGTCACTTTGTTTCCTCAGACAACAACAGCTGATCAACTACTTGAATTTTTTAAACAAGTTGGAGAAGTGAAGTTTGTGCGGATGGCAGGTGATGAGACTCAGCCAACTCGGTTTGCTTTTGTGGAATTTGCAGACCAAAATTCTGTACCAAGGGCCCTTGCTTTTAATGGAGTTATGTTTGGAGACAGGCCACTGAAGTAAGAAATCCTAAACAAGAAATTTTAATGATTTAAAAAAATTTAAAGTATATTTGATGTAATTAAGGTTTTTTTTTTTTTTTCTTTTTAATAGTAATTGGCAATTTGTGGAAAGGAAGACTGTGTTAAGTATAAATGAAATACATGCCATTTTAGCCTTTAAAATCCTAAAGTTGTATTTGGAATCATATTTCTCATTTTCTATTTTTAAGGTCTAGTTTACTTAACATTATTTATATACCCCACATAAAAGTTCTAAATCTTTATCAGTTTTAAAATTATTTTATTGGTTTTATAATATGACTAATGGGCAATTTAACGTGTGGGCTGTACTACTCTGCTTCTGGTAATATGAATTTCAGTAAATTCTAAATCCCAGGAAGAAAGTAATATCAAGTACCCAGAAATGTTTTAAATGAGACATTGGACTTTTAAGGTTTGCTCATATCCTTGTTTGTAAAAAATTGATGTAGCCTTTCAGACACTTAAGATCAGAAATTCTGTTTCAGTTAGATTATTAAGTCAAACATAGTTTTGTCTGATTTAATAGGTGATTGTTCTAGTTATACAATTTGATCAGGGTTTAACTGTTGAAGGATAAATAAGGGTTCTTAGTGGGATCTAATTATCTCTGTGGAAAAGGGATAAATGGAGGCAGACAAATCCCATTCATTGTGTGCATCAGAGAAGCCATTCTCACCTAATAGGGGAAGTTTTATCAGACACCTCCCACATTCAAAGGTGTCAGAGTGACTCAACCAAGGAAGGAATAGGGTTGACTAAAATGGTGCACATTATATACAGCTTTCCCTTTATCCTACCAGGGAGCACAGTTTATCAACAAAATCTCCTAATGTAAGAATAGAAATGATTTAACATTGGTATCAGTGTTTATAATTGTAAACCATATGGAAAATATTTATTCTGTATTAAAAGAAGTCAGCTAGGGTTTAGTATTTTTGTTTTTCCTTGCTTATAGCTTTTTTGGCAAGAGGTGACTGAAGGTGGGGATGAGAGATGAATCGTGCTTTTGAGGTTGTTTTTGTTTATTTTGTATTTAGCTATATCATTTTAATGTGCTTCTTAGAAGTCCTTAGACTCATCAGTAAGTGTATCATATAAACATTTGTTTAATGTTTTATAAAATATAGTGTGTATTTGTGATATGCTAATATTTTTAATTTAGAATAAATCACTCCAACAATGCAATAGTAAAACCCCCTGAGATGACACCTCAGGCTGCAGCTAAGGAGTTAGAAGAAGTAATGAAGCGGGTACGAGAGGCTCAGTCATTTATCTCAGCAGCTATTGAACCAGGTAAGGCCATAGCGTTGTTACATAGGTCATCGCTTAAAGATCATAGAATCTTAGAACCTGAAGGAATTTTAGAAATAATTACATTGTTCAGTCCCTTCATTTTTACCAATAAGAAGACTGAAACTCAAAAAATAGTAAGTGGCTTACTCAAAGAACAACACAAATTTTGTCTTTTTTCCAAAATTGCTGAATCAAGGCACATTAGCCTGAGTTTATTAGCTCTTTATTTTTTAATAGGAAAACCAGTGTTCAAAATGATTTCCTGAAGGAAAGTATAAGTGTTATTATGGAGCTAAAAAGAAAAGAGTAAATATATTCAAAATGTTAAGCAGGGTTTGCTATAAAGTTCTAATTTAAAACCTAGAAAAGAGAGCCCATGATTTAGAAAAAATACAGAAAACTGTTTTAGCAGGGTAAAGGAACACTTATTCAAACTTTGTGTTGCTTAATAAAATGATTTTAAAATCCAGTCTAAAAATGTCTAGGTGTTTAACCTTTGAGTGGATGTTCTAAATTAACACTCGGAATTTAAACTTCGATTCTAGCAAAATAAACAGAAAGGACTTAAAATCACTGTCATAGGAATTACAGACATGTTTTAATCGTACGTTATGGCAGCAACAAAATATTACGAACAGCTGTTTATAATCATCTGGTTTATATGTACTGCTGCAGGGTGGCTGCACTCAACGAGTTTATGCAATGACTTTCTTGGATGTTTCTGAAGGATAATTGCACAGGAGGAGGATGTACAGAGAGTAGGCCCCTTGCACTATATGTGGTACATTCCACTTGTGCCTAATTATTAACTGGGATCTTTAATTGTTCTGAGCTTACACTGCAAAGTGGTTTTTTCCTCCCAGAGTCTGGAAAGAGCAATGAAAGAAAAGGCGGTCGATCTCGTTCCCACACTCGCTCAAAGTCCAGGTCTAGCTCAAAATCCCATTCTAGAAGGAAAAGATCACAGTCAAAACACAGGTGAGAATTTCTACTTTCATATTTTATTTTTTTCAGTTTCTTATTTAAAATAGTTAAGATTTTATGGATTTTTATCAAAATGCCAGAATTTAGAAAGTTCGTTAGTGGTTATTAATAAATATTGCTCTGCTTATAAGACTGTAGTTAAGTTTTAATAGTTAAGCTAATTTTCCATTTTAGAAGTTGGTTTTCTATCTAAAGATGCTAATTTGATAGATTGCTAAGCGTATTCTTTACACAGAAGTGGCAGAAACTTTTCGTTCTTTTGAAAAAAGGGAACATATTTAGTAGTTATGCTGAAAATATTGTTCAAGTTGCGGCTTTTTGTTTTCTTTTCCCAGTCCACTCCAGGTCTGGGGAACAACACCCCAGATCTTGGTTTCAAGCAATTTCCTGTCTCCAAGTACCATGTTTCAAATGGAGCACCTTAAGTTTTTGGTACTCGTGGTGATAAGAGCCCTCCTCTGACCACTTTTGGAGCTGAAACCCCAGAGTAACTTGCAGTCTCATTTTGGAAGTTGTCTTGTCCTGAAGCACTGTTTGTTTTTTCCCTGTTTTTGATTATACTTTTGGCATTTTGTTTTCTCTTGTCTGTTATTGCTTTGTGTTTGGAAAGGAGATCTCAAAATATAAACTTGGAATACCATCTTGACTGCAAGTACCTTAACAATCATCTCTAAAGTGATACATTTTATTGTTTTTAAGGTGTGGAGGGGACTTTTTGAAATGGGAAAGTGTATATATATATACACACACACACACATATGTAGGGGGGACTTTTTGAAATGGGAAAGTGTGTGTGTGTATATGTATATATATATATATACACACACACATATGTGTATATGTTTCTGAATATATATATATTATATATACATATGGAGGGAACTTTTTGAAATGGGAAAGTGTCAAAAAGTCCCCTCCACACCTTAAAAACATTTCAAAATATATATATATTCGATCCTAATTGCATGTCATGATGTTTATGTCTTCAGGAAGGAGGGAAAGTGTGTGTGTATGATGTGGCAGTATTAGAGAAGGCAGAGGGATTGAGGGGAAGAAAGGAAAGAAACCAGTGTGTTGAGTCTCACCAGCATGCCCAGTTGAATTTTTCTATGATGATCACAGAGATTCAGTGAATGATAAAGGAAAGTAGACTATTCTTTTTTTGTTTCTAGTACTCATACTGCTAGCCCTTTTAGTGTTATATAGGTCTCTATTAAATCAGTTTGCAAAATCTCTTTGAAATATTGTTTTAGTGTCAACAAGATGATGTAGTTAGGCAAATTCAGAATCAAGTAAATAGAGTTGTTTTCATGTGTAAGAAATAAGGCATGCAGCAGAAGGTGGAGTTTGGAGTAGCAGTGGTGCTAGAGTGGACATTCCTGTGTGTTGACAGGATCGGGTGAGGATAAAGAATAGCAAGGAAATATAAAATTGTGTGAAAATTAATAACTATACTGAGGAAAAAGAGAATCTTATTTTGAGAGGTTGATATGAGAGCAAGCTAACCTCCATGATTAACATCATGTGGCTTCCTTGATAATCTATGTGAAGCTATATGTGCTTTTTGAAATTGGGCAAATAATTGAGCAATCCACTTTATCCATTGTTCACTGTAAGGTTTTAATTTTAAGTACTATGTATTTAATTAGTGCCCCCTCCAAGGGTATCATCCAGTCTATAAAGTTTGTGAATTCTTGATATTCATGAGAGTTATTTTCTTGTAGATCTGTCTGTGTAGCAGTGGAAATGTGTGTGTGTGTGTGTGTGTGTGTGTGTGTGTTTTGTGTGTGTGGTCAGCATATCCTACTTTCACATGTTCATGTAGACACACGCACAGCTTTGACAAAGCTCATAAACATACAAAAGAGGACAAATTCTCTATTCTTTTTAAAGGAATGGAAAACATCTTACTGAAAAATATATGACTTTAGGATGTTGACTTGGAAGTTGGAAGAAGTCCCCTTAATCCCCAGGAGTCAGAGAGGGGTTTTTTTGGCTTTCCCTCCTCTGCCAGTGGGAGCTGGTATCCTCAGGTTTTGCTTATGGGCCCACCTGTTCTTTTCCACCATCTTCAGATGCTTCTAGAACCATGCTTTCCGAGGCATAGAAAGACAAATACTACTCACATTAAAGAGCTTAAATTTTCTTTCATAAAAGCAGACATCTGGTTATTAAATGGTGGAGGGATATGGGAGGAAGTTGGATAATAGGTGCCAAAATACTGCTCATGTTCTGTAACATGGTAGAATGATTGTAGTTCCTAACAGTTCAGTACATATTTTACAAAGAACTAGAAGAGAGGAGTTTATACATTCCTAGCACAAATAAATGATTAATGTTTAAGGAGATGGAAATGCTAAATTAAGCTGATTTGATCACTGCACATTTTATACATGTATTGAATTGTCACACAGTACCCCACAGATATGTACAAGTATGATGTATCAACTTAAGTGGGAGTTGTGCTTAACCCCCAATATCTCTCCTTTCTCTGTTCCTTCCCTGTATTATTGTAAACAGGAGGAATGGGTTTCTTGTCATTGTATCCCTAAGCTAGGACTTGGGAAAAGTGTTTCTACTTTGTCCAAGTTTTGATACTTTTAAAAAAAATTCTAATTAGTTATACATGACAATAGAATGCATTTTGACACATCATACATAAATAGAGTATGATTTCTTATTTTTCTGGTTGTATATCATGTAGAATCATACTGGTTGTGTAGTCACATATGTACGTAGGGTAATAATGTCTGATTCATTCTATTATCTTTCATATCCCTTCCCCTCCCCTCACTCCCCTCTGTCTAATCCAAAGTGCCTCTATTCTTCCCTAACCCCCCCACCCTACCCCTCTTATTGTGAATTGGCATTTGTATATTAGAGAAAGCATTCCGCCTTTGGTTCTTTGGGATTGGCTTATTTTGCTTAACATGATATTCTCCAGATCCATCCATTTACAGGCAAATGCCTTAATTTCATTCTTCTTTAAGGCTGAGTCATAGTCCATTGTGTATATATACCACATTTTCTTTATCCATTCATCTATTAAAGGGCACCTGGGTTGGTTCCATAGTTTTGCTATTGTGAATTGAGCTGTTATAAACATTGATGTTGCTGTGTCACTGCATTATGCTGCTTTGGGTATAAACCAAGGAGTGGGATAGATGTGTGAAACGCGGGTTCCAACCAAGTTTTCTGAGGAATCTCCATACTGCTTTCCATAGTGGTTGCACCAGTTTGCAGTCCCACCAGCAAACGTATGAGTATACCTTTTTACATTTTTTATTTATATAGATAACATTAGAAAACATAGGTAGTACTAGAATTGTTTTTTTTTAATTTTTTTTAGTTGTAGATGAACAAATACCTTTATTTTGTTTATTTATTTTTATGTGGTGTTGAGGATTGAACCCAGTGCCTCACACATACGAGGCAAGTACTCAACTGTTGAGTCACAACCCAGCCCAAGAATTGTTATGTTTTTAAGTTAAGTAACCTTTACAGACCAGCATAGGAACTATAAGACATTTTGTAATGTTTTAATGGAAAACAACTGATTTACAAAGGAACTTTGATACAGCGTGAGGGTAAGTTGCTATTTATTTACAATTTAATTTTAAAATATAATTTTGTAAATTATTTTAAAAATTAAACTGCTAATAAGTATTTGTCTTTGGTTGGATTAGACCTGCTCGTGAATGTTTTAGTGTTCTTAATTAAAAAACATACTAGAGGGTGGGATAGACCTGAAAAGATTTAATGTCAAAATTAAAGTATAATAATTACTCCTCAGCAGTGACGTGAACTCTCAGAACCTGCAGGATAAGAAACCAAGTGATCAGTTCTTTATTATTAACTAAATTTATTAGGGCTACCCTTAATTTTTTAAAAGAAGTTTCCTTGCTTAATTATTGTTGAAAAACACTGCTTTGAGGAAACAAAAGAATTATTTATATTTTTAGCAAGGTTAACTAGAATAGTCTTAAGCTTTTTTATTGAGTACATAGAAACAATGTGAACATCTGTAAATGGACTAAGAATGCTCTAACTTTTAAATCTGCCTTAATACCTGCTACTTGACCTTCATGTCTCTTAGGTTTTTAGTGGTAAATACTTCAGCAAACTCAGAATTATCTTATTGTATTAAAAAAATGTTACAAAGACAGATGCATTTTTAAAAATTATTTTCTTTCCTCAAGTGCATTATCTTTACAGCTGTATAATAGATGAGCAGTTGAAAATTAGCTGTAAGAGCATGGTGAGGGTGGTGCATACCTATAATCCCAGCTACCTAGGAGGCTGAGGCAGGAGGATTGTGAGCTTGAGGCAGACTCAACATTTTTTGGCAAGACCACATCTCAAACACAAAATGGGCTGTGGAGGTAGCTTGGTAGTAGAGTACCACTGGGCTCAATCCCCAGTGCTGAGGGGAAAAAAATCCAAAACAATTGGACTAACTGAAAAATATATTAGTAAAGGAACTGGAGGTGTTTCTGGTTTTATAGCATGCCCCAAGCATGACCATTTAACTATATATTTCTCTTATAGATATTTGTGTATATTATGTACAGTGTACTTGTGGAAGTTCATTTGACCTCCTTGGAATAAATAAAGATTTAAAGTTTACATTTATGTTAAACTGTGTTATTTTTTATGATGGCTATAATAATACCAAGAATTGAGATAAGTGTTTAGTCTGTGCCAGAGACTGCAAGCCAGTTTTACATACATCATCTAATTAATCCTCATGATAGATAAATAGATGTGATTCTGATTCCACTTTATAGAAGAAGAAATGCAGAGTTAGAGAGGTTAGTGACTTGCTAGTGCTCGGCCAGCTAGTGTGTGGCAGAGTTGTGCTTTAGAGCCAGATTGTCAGACTCCAAAGCTGGTGAGTCTTATCACTTTGTTATTTTAAGTTGTGTGCATCTATTTTGTTGTATTTTAATAAATAGTGCCTGAATTAGCTCATTGTGGGAAAAAAAGTATTTGAAAATACAGTTATTTCAGTGGGGAAAGAGGGACTAATCAAAATTGAAGTAACAGGTATTTTTCCTTGGAAGAATTCCATTAATAAATGGTTCTTTTAATAGCTGTGGTCATAGTTTACAGCTTTAACACAGAGGCAACACAAATCTAATATTTTGATTTTATGTAGTTTTACCTCATGCAAAATGATTTTTGTTTTCCTGTCACATCCACTCTCCAGTTTGTTTCCTTATACATATTTTCTTAATGTTTATTATGATAAACAGTACACAACAGTTTCTAGAAGTGAACCATATAACCACTACTCCCCATCAAGGTGTCATAACCAGGTAACAGTCAAGTGAAAGACAGTTTTTGGTGTGAAAACTTGGACGATGGGAAAAATCTTCTTTGTTAATTTGTGGCATGGCATGTAATAATTTGTTGCAAAAGAAAGCCATACCGGAAAATATCAACTTGTGTTCTAGACAGTGAAATATCTGGTAAAGTTTCAAATAAGTAAACTCTTTCTGGTAATGTAACGAAAGCATTATATAAGAAAGAATTTTTAAAAGTTGATAAATACAGTTAAGATGGATTTTTAAATTCTCTTATTTTCAAAGACTTTTTTTAAAAAATGAAATTCTAAGAATAAGTTTTGATTTTTAATAATTTATTTCTTCAGGAGTAGATCCCATAACAGATCCCGTTCAAGACAGAAAGATAGACGTAGATCTAAGAGCCCACATAAAAAACGCTCTAAATCAAGGGAAAGACGGAAGTCAAGGAGTCGTTCACGTTCTCGGTGAGTTTTAGAAAATTAGGGATAATCTTTTCATTGGTTTTATTATTGGCTTTTCTGCTGTGGTTTAGGCTTTGATGAGAAATAAAACTCTTTTTCTGATTGTTTTAGTAATCTAGGATTAATATTGATTGCCACTGATTTGAATCTGATGGTCAGTATGACTCATGAGGTTTCCAAACTACTCAACTCAGCCTGGTAATCACTTCATTTTGCAGCTTCATGTACACTGGATTATATAGAAATGCATATATAATGTCTTGAGCCATTGTAAATTGTTTTATGTTGGTAATTGTTGAGGAAAGAGGGAGGGATGTCTTTTTTTGGGGGGGTAGAATTTTTTTAGTTATACATTTATTTATTTTTGCTTATTTTTCAAGGGACAAGAGAAAAGATACTCGAGAAAAGATCAAGGAAAAGGAAAGAGTGAAAGAGAAGGATAGAGAAAAGGAAAGGGAAAAAGAGAGAGAAAGGGAAAAAGAGCGTGAAAAAGAAAAGGAACGGGGGAAAAACAAAGACCGAGAAAAGGACCGGGAAAAGGACAAAGAAAAGGAAAAAGAGAGAGACAGAGAAAAAGAGCATGAAAAGGAGCGAGACAAAGAGAAAGAAAAGGACCAGGACAAAGAGAAAGAACGAGAAAAGGACAGATCCAAAGAAATAGATGAAAAAAGAAAGAAGGATAAAAAATCCCGAACACCACCCAGAAGTTATAATGCATCAAGAAGATCTCGTAGTTCCAGCAGGTTTGATAATGTCTAAATTTTTTGGTCAAGGGTTTACTGATAACAAATTAAAACATAAGTGTTTAACTGAGGGGGAAAGGTTATTGTATACAAGTAGAACCAGTACAGTAAGGGCAGAACGTTTTCTTGTAATTGGAAAGTAAATGTTTTCTCTGTGAATTGCCACAGTGTTGAGCCTGTGAGGAGGAAGAGATGATATTCTGCAAGATTATTTAGTTTTAGCTAAACTTTGAAGTATACTATTTTTAGCCCAGCTAATTATTATCAGTGTTGTTATTTTCTTAGAAGGTAGAATATCAGGGAAGGTATTAAGAAATAGAGGAGTTGGAGTTGTGCCTCAGTGGTAGAGCACTTGCCTAACACACATGAGGCACTGGATTCGATCCTCAGCACCACATAAAAATAAATCAAAATAAAGATATCATGTCCATCTACAATTTAAAAAATATTAAAAAAAAAAAAGAAAAGAGAAAAGAAATAGAAGATTGACCTCTTAGGTGCCTTTCTTAAGAATGTCATGGGAAATTTTAATATGCAAAATGATTGTTAGTTCTTTCCATCATGTGAGTTAAGTTTTACCTCTCATGTTGAGTGCATGACATTTAAATTTGAATTCTTTATTTGTTAATTTTAAGGGTTAGTTTTTTTCCCCTTAGCACTGTCCAAAAAAAAAGTTCTCAATTTATAAATAAGTACACTGCCACCAGGCGGCAGCAGGTTGCCATAGAAACAGCTGCAAAATGAGAACCTTCCTCAAGGTTATTTAAACCCACATCCATTATTTTAAATAATACCGTAATTGTGAATAACTGGAAGTTTCTGATTTGTGTTAACCTATCTGTTAAATACATATATATATATATATATATATATTTTTTTTTTTTTAGCAAATTTTAAAGATGGTTTTCATAGAAAACAATTAGAGATTAAAGAATATTATTTCCTATTTTTAAAATGTTTTTGTAGTTTTGTCTTAATATTAGCCTTTGACTAATATTTAGAGATAATTGTAGGCATTTATTGGGTATGCTATGTATTATGTCTCACTTTTTTGTCTTTCTTTACTTAGTCCTTAGAGTAGGCTCATGAGAAAACTATTATCATTGTTGTAAAATATGAGGAACTGGGAAACTATAGGAAATTAGCCGTCTTCTGTGTTTTTTAGTATCTTTTAACTCTTTTCCTCCTTTGTAGAGATTGTTTTAGCATTTTATTGTGTGTGTGTGGGGGGGTGGTGGTACTGGGGTGGTATCCAGGAGTGCTTTACCACTCCTTTTTTAGTTTTTATTTTTTTAAACAGCACCTAAATTGCCTAGGCTGGCCTTGAATTTGTGATCCTCCTGCCTCACATTCATGAGTAGTTGGAATTACTCTATTGTGCTTGGCAAATTTGAGAATTCTGTAGTTTATTACCTGCTTTTAAAATGTACCTGAGAACCATAAAGTTGAAAGCAATTGTATATGTATTAAAATGGGGATCAAAATGAAAAGAAATATTATTACATTTCCAGCACATTGAACCAATTGTTAAAAGACTTTCGAATGTCTCCTAATCTGTATATATTTTTTTTTCCAGAAAAATTTGACTTTTAAAGCTTTAAAGTTATTGTCAATAAAGATGAAACCAAGAAAAGAAAGAAGAGGGCTGAGGGTGTAATTCAGTGTTAGAGAGCTTGCCTAGCATGTGTGAGACCCTGGGCTTAATCCCTAGCACCTAAAGACATTTTTTAAAAAGGAAGAAGGTATTTATTGAGTACCTACTATGTGTCAGAATCTATGAACTTTATAGGTATTATTCTGTATCCTCATAGCAACTGTGTAAGGTGTGAGTTATTTGTTTTTATTTCTAGTTGAATAAAACCAGACTTGGACTGGGAATGGTGGCTCATGCCTATAATTCCTTAAGTGACTTGAAAAGCTGAGGCAGGAGGATTGCAAGTTCGAGGTCAGCCTCAGCAGCTTTTATTGAGACCCTGTCTTAAAATAAAAAAATAAAAGGCTGAGGATGTAGCTCAGTGGTAGAGCACCTCTTGGTTCAATCCCAGTACCAAAACAACAACAAAACCAATCAAACCAGACTTGGGTTGAATGATACTTAATGTTCTCAAAGCTCTTGAGCTTTTTTGGTTGTCTAAAATATCTGCCGTATGTACCACTAATAATGTAAGCATTAATTTTACAAATGAAAAATATAAGATGGCAAAGAGAAATTGAAATCCAGAGGATTGATTTATTTCATCTCTGTGGTTTCTGATTATCAATGCTCCTTAAGAAAGGGTATCATTAGATTCATTGACATTTAATAAATACATTTTTTTTTCCCTTGGATCATGGACATGGTGAAGTTCTTTGTTTCTAAGTGGATCACTCATAAAAAGTAATTTTATGTATACATCATTTACTAATATGTTAAGCAAAATAATTTTAATAATAAATACTTAATATGTGTATTTCTTAGTTGACCATATTTAAATCCCAGATTTTAACTATTTTTCCTATATTTAAGCAACCTGTGTACTCAGTTTTAAATTAATAAAACAGCAATAATAAATGGAGGTTGGAGAGGAAAAGCAATTTCTTTATAGTGATTTAAATACTTTTTTGGAGACATTCTAATGCTTGAGACTAATTGGTTTACATTTTGCAGACTAATTTATCCTTCAGTTCTTGAAGAACCTGTTATTTTGTTACAAAATAATCCACAGTGGGGCAGCAAGGAGCTAGATGCATGATAAAGAATCTAGTAGGCAAAATGTGTTTTAGATTCCGAGAAAGACATTTGAGAGACTGAACCATCAATATTTTTTCTATTCAAGAAATTATTGTTCAGATATACCACATGGTTATGGAGGCTCTCCATCGTTTCTGATATTAAATCTTAGGGGTAAAGTTTTTGTCCTCTATAAAATTTATGGCTCATAATTTGACTTACCCTAAAATTATGTGGTAGAACATGTTTATAAAGTATGTGAGTTTAAACTGGCCTTTAAAGGGGCTGAAGAGTAGTAAACTGTAATAAACAAAATGGCTTATGAGGACTACTACTCAATTGAGAGTTCAACCAAGGACACTTTTGCTTTTGTATTTTTTAATTTCTCTTTATTTCAATTGTGTTTTAAAATGACATTTTTGGCTTTTAGGGAAAGGCGGAGGAGAAGGAGCAGGAGTTCTTCCAGATCACCAAGAACGTCAAAAAACATAAAAAGGAAGTCTTCTAGGTCTCCATCCCCTAGGAGGTAGGTTGAAAACAAGTACCAAAACTAAAGAAAAGGAAGCAGGAAAATTTTTAAAAAGATTCATGTTTCTCTCTTTTTAATGTTTTTAAAATTTTATATTTTGAATGAGTAATACATTTGTATCCTTCAGAAATAAATGTAAAAATTTATGTGATGAGAAAACTTACTTTCTTCCATGTGCTCACCTATCTGTCACCATAAATAATGAAATAGTTTTTCTCTATGCCCTTCCAAGGATATGAAAATATATATTTTATTTTTCTCATATTAAGTAACAAATATACATTGTTGTACACTTGATTTTACTTCACTTAACTATTAGGAAGTTTTTCCATAAATTGGTCAGAGAGAATTCATTCCTTTTTATAATTGCATGGACTTAGATTTATATTCTAGTTCCTTGTTTTATTTTACCAGCCTACAGTAGAATGGTTTTTCTGAAATTTTCTTGTTTCATACTATGTAATGTTATAATGAACAACTTTGGACTTAATGTTGTTTAAAGGGTTCTGTTGTGTAGGAAGAATTTCCAGAAATGGTATCGGATGGGTTATGGGATATGTGATATATAGTTAAGTTTGTTGCTGTAAATTTATGAATAAATTTATAATCCTAAGTATTTTATTCTTGAAGTTATTGTTCCCTTGATTTTTGAGAATTAGGTTTAAAAATAAATACATATATGTTGCTAATAATCTTTTTTTTTTTTTTACTTTTGAATATAGCTGAAGGGTTTTTTGTTTTTTTTTTTTTCATATTGGGGTTTGAACCTAGGTGTACTTAACTACTGAGCAACACCCCCAAGCCCTTTTTTTGCCTCAGCCTCCTGAGCCACTAGAATTATAGGCATGCACCACTGCATCCAGTTTATACCTGGAGTTTTAAAAGAAATTTTTAGGAGAAATACTTAGAAAATATTTCCCTCTACTCAGATTGTAAAGGAATTCACCCATGTTTATTTTTGTTTTTAAAAAATAAGTCTTTAGGGTTGGGGTTCTAGCTCAGTGGCAGAGTGCTTGCCTGTCATGTATTCAGTCCTTAGCACACATAAAAATAAATAAAATAAAGGCATTCTGTCCATCTACAACTACCAAAAAAAAAGTATTTAATCCAGTTAAACTTATTTCTATTATGTGAAATGAGCCGTGGATCCAGTTTTATCACTTTCCAAGGTGATACTAATGCTAATGGTTACTTAGCCCTGCCCGGGAGCCACATCTAATTAGTTGCAGTTGGATACAATACCTCTATTTTATTTATTTTTATGTGGTGCTGAGGATCAAGCCCAGGGCCTTGAACATGCTATACTGCTGAGCCACAACCCCAGCCCCAACATCTTTATCTCTTGTTTTTTATTTCCTGCGTATTCAGGTATTGCTTTGAAAAGATTCATAAACAAACACTGTCTCTTAGTATTCTTGGGGTATTGCATCCAGGACCCCTTGTAGATCCCAAAATGCATGAATGCTGAACCCTAACATAAAATAGTATAGCATTTGCACGTAATCTGCACATCCTCTTGTAAACTATCTCTAAATTACTTATAGAATGTATACGTGTGTATATATAATATAGAATATAATATGTAAATAGTTGTTATACTGTATTTTTTAGGTAACAATGACAAGAAAATTCTGTAGGGGCCTGTGTGTAGATTAGTGGTAGAACACATGTCCCCAGCACCACCCCCCCCCCAAAAAAAAAAAAGTCTAAATGTTAGTACAGATGCAGTTTTTTCTCCCTTTTTAGAAAAGTTTTTTTGTAAATAATTTTGAGATTGGGTTTTGCTAAGTTGCCCAGGCTGGACTTGATCTTGTAATCCTTCTGATTGAGCATCCTGAGTTGCTGCCCCACATATTTTAAATCTGTGATGGGTTGAATTCATGGATAAGGAACTTATTGGTTCAAATGAGCTGACTGTATTTGGTTTTATTTTATCTTATTCCAGTAGATAAATAAATCCTGAATATTATTAAAGTAATATATTTGTAGTACCAAATTATGTTTTATGTAAACACTGGATGGCTGCTGCATAAATGATTAGTGTCTTTGTAAAAAACTCATTAGGGCAAGGGGTGGAATTGGTCAGGTTATAGAACCTATTTTTGTTACTTTATCATACCAACTTACTACAAGTTTATTTAAAATATATTATTTTCGATACCCTGTGTTAGATAAGGATAAAGAATATGGTATGTTTCTGATTTCTTAAAAGTTGACATTTTATGAATATTCTTACAGCAGAAATAAGAAAGATAAAAAGAGAGAAAAAGAAAGGGATCACATCAGTGAAAGGAGAGAGAGAGAGCGTTCAACTTCTACAAGAAAGAGTTCTAATGACAGAGATGGAAAGGAGAAGTTGGAGAAGAATAGTACTTCAGTTAAAGTAAGCAGTAGATAACAGTATTTGGCATTGAATAATTAATTGAGATTGTTCTTTATCAACTGAATGCTTCTTGAGGGCAACAGTTTTTACATTGTTGGCATTTTAAAATAGTTATTAAATTGGTAAATTTTTACATTAAATTTTGAAAACATGAGAGACAATTAAGATTTAAAATATTATGTTCCTTATTTTAGAGAATCAGAAAATGGCATATAATAAGAAAATGTTTAGAAAATCTGTGGGCATCAAATGTATTTGACACATTTATACTGTTAAAATTTCTGCCTGATGCCATTTTCCTCTGTTTTAGCAAATTTGACAAGAATGTCTTTAGTCATTGGCTTTGTAATAATATATTACAAATTAGGTTTGTTGAATTATGTAATGGAAAACCAAATTCCACCAAATAAGCTTTTTCTTGAACAAATATTTTAAGTGTTTGTGAATTATGTCAATTCCCTTGTCCATCCTCGTAAAGTATGTTTGTATTAGAAATTGAGTTCTGGGACTTTCATTATGTAATTTCCTACTGGTAGAGGGTTAGGATTGTCGTTGATAGTAATTATTGATCATTTACTGTGTGCCACTCTTGGATCTCATTTAATTTTCCTTTAAGCTAAGGATAAAATTTGACCGTGTGTGTGTGTGTGTGTGTGTGTGTGTGTGTGTGTGTGTGTGTGTTTTGGTACCAGGGATTGAACTCAAGGGCACTTGACCACTGAGCCACATCCTCCAACCCTATTGCATTTTATTTAGAGACAGGGTCTCACTGAGTTGCTTAGCACCTTGCTTTTGCTAAGGCTAGCTTTGAACTCGCAGTCCTCCTGTCTCAGCCTTTGAATTGTTTTAAACAGTCTTTTCTAAGAGGAATATTTACTTCCTTTATTTTTGCTTCTGATGGCATTTTTGGAAGTTATTTCATGCTTTCAGCAGGTTGATCTCACTTTTTCAAGTCGTATCCACAGTATTTGTGCTTCTTTAGAATTTCTGTTCACCTGTTCTAACTTAGTTCCCATGTTTTATGAGAAATGCAGTGGTCAAATTGATCCATTTTGCATGTTCTTTTTAATGAAAAAATAATGAAAGTAAATAATCCAGTTTTATTAATTCACTAAGATGTCATTTAACCACAGTAGTGGTAACTCTTGAGGGGAATAGTAATTGTTTACCTTTGTATTTATTGTAGGAGAAGGAGCACAATAAAGAACCAGATTCAACTGTCGGCAAAGAAGTAGATGATAAGGATGTACCAAGGACTGAGGAAAACAAAGTACAGCAAAATGGGAATTGTCAACCAAATGAAGAAAACCTCTCTACCAAAACAGAAGCAGTATAGGACAGACTTACGCACCTCTGCACTCAAAGGTGGAATAAAATCCAAAGCTTTTAATTCTCTCAACAAGATGTAAACAGGGAAGAAATCTAGCCGAATATGAAGTTAGAAGCTAACAGCTTTTCTAATTGTTAGGTGATGTTATGGACATCTTGTTACTGAGTAAGAAAATAAAGCATGGACATCATGAAAATACCAGATGTTACCCAAACCCCTCATCTTCTAAAAACTGTGTTTCCATGGTGGCTGACACACTTGTCATGTGATTGTTAGTGTTTGCCAAGAACCATTGCAAATAAATTGAACATCATTGATCCAAATTTATACTTTCCCTAGAGACTGGAGGTAAACATTGGAGGCTCTTAAAAAAAAAAAAATGCTAGTTACTGAATTTTGTATTGTTTTACTTTTTTTAAAAAAAATTTCGATATATACAGTTTGATGATGTGCTTGAAATTGGTGCAAATATATACACACCGTTGTAAGTGCAAAGTATGTAAGAAGTTTTAACATTTATTTCACATGATTTACAGTGATTGTGTTAAATTCTCACTATTGTGTTTTCTTTTGCTCACTGTTTAGAACAGCAGTTTTTCTTTAAAATAGTTTTACAATTAAAATTGCTTAAATAAGTGGATTAAAAAACAACTGACAATGCATGCTACTGTTCTCTTTCAAAAGGAAGAGCAACTGTGTTGAATACTAATACTAATGTATTAGTATTCAGTGTTTAGAATCATTGGGTCTACCCACAAACAAAGTAAGCATTTCTTTTTGAACTTTCTTGACATTTCCAAGTTTTATTATGAATAATATTGCAGTGTGTCTTGTCAGCTGTAGGTGGTAAGAATGCCCTCATAAAAAGGAAACTGGGTTTTCAAAATGGGCTACGGGAGCACAAGCTGAAGCTTTAGTGCCTTCTACAATGTGGTATACTGTTTTCTAGAATTTTATATGTGCTAGTCATTCTCAATTCATATGGAATCTAGGTATTCACACCATAGAGAAGTATGCAAGTGATATGTCAGAAGAGCTTAACTTAGTTCACTTCATATGAAAGGAAATCCTGTTTTCAAGACCGACTTTAGAGTTTAAAACAACAGTGCAGTTTTGGGACCATCAGTTTTATATATAACTGTGATAACTAAAAATGAAACATGCTCTATTTTCCTCAAATCAAAGGAAACCATTTAGTTGACTACATTGGATGGCCTTAATTTTTACCTCTCAATCATTTTCCCATAAACAATGTGCAGAAATTATACATAAAGGGAGGACAGGGAATATATGGGAGGTTATTTGTTTTGTTTAAGACTATGTTTACTTGAGTTTAAGATACAGGTCATCCATCATTCACTTTTTACAGAAAGTATACAAGTAGTAAAATGACAACATATCTAATATTTTCCCCCAAAACTATAACTTGTGGTTTCTGAACTCTTTTCATTATTGTTATATTTCCAAAAGTACTTTTAATTAGCATTTTATTAAAAATCAAGTATAATTATTTTAATGCAATCTAATACAATCAAATTACTCAGTTGCCTTACCTCATGGGACAAGTTACTTTTTATAGATTTAAAAAGCTGAGTAGCATGTTAGTTACTTGGTTTCAACTTGAGTCTTCTTTTTAAATGTTAATACTGTTGAAACTTAAGTATTTGATGGAGAATGGAAAGAGTTGTTCTTTTTGCAAGTTATGAAACCTGGTTTGATTTTGAAGCTGCTTAATCATCTTCATGTGTTCAGAATTACTGTGGTTTTTTTTTTTTTTTCTCCTTTTTTGTCACTGTGTACATTAAAATTTTGGAAAATGCTTTACTATGTAAAGTATAGGTGGTCATTGTAATCATTCAACCACGTAAGGTTGGCTGGTAAACAGCTTATTCTGATACAAGAATGCTTGGGTGCATATGGAAAGATTGTGAAGGAGTGTGTGTCTTGCATCAACAGCTGTCTTATTTATGATATGTAAGTAGAATAGAGCAAATGTTGTTTGAATCTGTTATTTTTAGTACCATTTCTCTAATAAAGCTAAGTATTTTAGAGGAAAGTAGTTGTTTATACATTTCAAAATAAGATCTTAGTTTTCATCCTGTTCTTGATTTAGTTAGCACAGAGATTGTTTTGACTTGGCGAGTGTGTGTTTGTGTGGTATCTGTCTACAAATTAGTCATTTCAAGTTTAAATATTTTCTTGTACTCTGGACTCTTTAAGTGTTTTTTTCATATTGGAAATTAATATTTAATTTTATTCCTACCACTAATTTTATTGCTGAGGATATTTATTCAGCTGTAAAGTAATATTAATTTTGAGTGATTTTTTTTTTCAAAAACTGAGAATCAGGCTGGGGTTGTAGCTCAGTGGCAGAGTACATGTGTGAGTCACTGGGTTCGATCCTCAGCACCACATAACAATAAACAAATAAAAAAAAGGCATGTTGTCCATCTACAACTACAAAAAAAATTCTTTTAAAAAGCTGAGAATCTAGGAATGTAAGATTTGACATTTTTTTACATGGAAGCAAAGCCTACTAGGGTCTAGATGTGTGTGTGTGTGGGTATGTATATGTGTGTGTGAGACAGAGAGATGAGTTTTCTTTTTGTTCACTTAAGAGCTGACATGTTTCCATTTGTTTATTATTTTCTTTAAGGGTACTGTGTTTTTTCCTTTAAAATTATTTTTTTCATCTCCTCGGTAGATGTCAGGAAAACTTGAGGTAAGGCCAAGAAGGCAGCCCTTTTACACTTCATATCTTCTGTGATTCTTTTTAAGCTTGATTACAGAGAAGGCACTCTGTTTTTCTTAAATCATACTTGTTTTTCAGCAGTGCTTGTTGAACTGTAACAAAAGATGGTCCTTCATAACTGACTAGCCAGACAGTTTCACATGCAAAAACTTGTAAATCCTTAACTTACACAGTTGTCTTCTTAGCTTCTATTTTCCATCTAATCTAATTAGCTTATAATCAAGTCATCTTGTGATTTTGCCCACGTTTAGAATTCTTCTTTTGAAGAAATACCTACCTTGATCTTCACTGTTAGAAGCTTAAATTTTGACATGCTCACTTAACAATAAAGCTGGTATTTATAACCAAAAGATTATTTTGTCAAGAAAATAATTTGATATAAATCATTTTCAGGATCCTCAGTCATTTCTATGTGTGTGTATGTTACTATCTTTATTTTAAAAGTTGAGAAAACAAAAAACTGATTCAAATCTCACAACTGAAGAGATTGTTCAAATTTTAAGGATTTTAAGTATAGTAATAGGCTTTTAAAACAAATTTTTTTGATCTGTACTGTATTATAAGTGCAGATTATTTTCATTTAACTTTAGTTGAATTAGCAATTAAAATCAAGTCTTTTTGGAGGGATGCATTGAATTGAATAACAACATTTCAGTAATGTCATTTCTTATATTTTCATGGTAAAAGATAGTATTTGATTTTAATTGAGTGGGTTATTGAAGTTGAACCGTTCCTACAAAGTAAAAGTACAGTGATCATGTGCTCTTTGTGTTTAAATATATTTTTTTTTATTTTTACTTCCTACATGTTTAGTATTCTCATGTTCATTTACTGATGTCATAGTCACTTTGAATTATTTTCATAATTCAAAAGTTAGTGCTTTTAAGGGCTAACTTATTTCTGGAAGCAGGAGTCTAGTATAAATATAATAAAATAATCTTTTAAAAATAAAACTGACTTTCCTACTTCATCTTGGGTTTATGGGTGAAATTTTTGTTGTTTTTTAGGATACTTTTATTGGTGATTTTTGCATGAAGAGAGTGATATTTTAGAAATAAAAGCTAAAGCTGTTTATGGTATTTGGTCCATATTTGATCAGGTTAGCTACAGTACCTAATGTGGATCTTTTCATTCCAGTTTAACCCATTTTTTCCAATCATCTGTGATGTGGAATGACTAACTATAAAACCATAAATGAAGCAACAAGTATATCACTTATAGTAACTTTGAAATAATTGTTTTCAGAGGTCTATTCTTTTGAGAAAATAGGTGATTAATTAGAATGTTTGAAAATATGTAAAGGACATATAAGCTCTAGACTATGATTTCCAAACTATTTTAATGCACCTATGTCAATTTCATTAATAGAAAATTAAAAATTGGGGAATTAATGTGTTAAGGTACCTTTATAATTATAATTTGTCTAAATTTTCTGTTTATATGTAATACAACATTTCCTTTTGGGGGTTGCCGGGGATCAGATTTAAGCAAGTGTTCTACCACTGGGCTTCCCTTCCAGCCCCAAATGTTAACATGTCTTAGTATTTTTAAGTAGGTTTTAATATGTTGCCTGATTTTTAAATTTATGTCTAGTTAACATTTTAATTTGGAAAATTGTCAATTTTGAGAAGACTTCACATATTTTGCCTCTAAATTTTATTTTCCCAGGATTAGCATGTCACATATTTTGCCTCTAAATTTTATTTTCCCAGGATTAGCATGAATGTTTAGTTTCTTCTAATCTTGATTAATTTTTATTTACTAGTCAGGTAACTTCATAACTGTAAATTCAGATTCATGAAAATCATACTGAAAGAAGAGAGTGATTTCCACCAGTTTAGGGGTATTGGTATAGGTAACACATTGTCAGGGAATAACCTAGAGAATTCGTGATTTCCACAAAAGGTTAAATTTGAATATACTGTGTAGCTATATAAATCAATTTAATAGTTAAATAATTATCCTCCTAACCTTGATTAGTTTAATAGAACAGTGCTATAGATTTTCAAGGGAAGAGTTTAAAATGTTACATTAAGATTCTGCATAGGTGGTGTATATTTATGTGCGTAGGATTACTTTTAAATGGTACTAGTAAAGATTTATCAGATGCTGCTGCTATTATGTCACTATATTTTTAATAAAATGAAAATCTTAAAATCTTGCCATTGTTGAGTAGTAATTTCGCCTATTTCTGGGACATTTATTTCCAGAGTCGCAACTTGTTTTTAATAACTGAGAGATGGTTATAGGCTTTTCCAGGGTTAAAAATTACCACCCAAATTGACGTTTTTGGGTTTAACAGCAAGCGGAATGTTTCCCCCCCTTTATCAGAAGTATAGCTCTCTGGTAAATGTGCTGTAAGACCTCAGGATGGTCATTTAAAACAGCGTATTAGTTGAAAGTTTAAAAACAAGCTACCTGTGAATGTATAGATTTAGAATTCTGTAAGAAGACTTCATGGCTTAGTTGGCCCAGAGATGATGAGCTATCTTAATTATGGTTAAAGGACATGAACTGTTTTAGTTTCCAAATATGTTAAACTGTTTGTGCAAGGGTGGAAAGAAGAGACCTTTAAACTGTACTTGCCAGTAGTGGGTTTGCACTTTTTTGTGTGTGACCTTCTCCACAGGAGTTCTAGGGATTACAGGTTGTAGCAGCTGCTTTTGACGGTAGACTTCTACAGTAGACTTCTGAAATTTTACATTGCACTCTTTGGTACCAGGGATTGAACCCAGGTCGCTTAACCACTGAGTGACATGCCCAGTTCTTAAGTTGCGTAGGGCCTGACTAAATTGCTGAGGCTGGCTTTGAACTTGCAATCCCCTTGCACACAGGTGTGTGCCACCATGACCAGTCACTGCATTAGTTTTGAAAGGTCACTGGGTTATAATTAAGTTGTATAATTATATTACATTTAGTTTTTTATAATTACCATTTTCTTACATTATGAAAAGGCTCATGGAAAGAGTAGTAATGTTTTTTTAAAAAATCATACTCTTGTAATGCATTAGCCACCATATGACTGAGGTGGAAAATGGATCAGTTATAGAGGCATGACCTCTGGTAGTGCATTACCCTTTCCTGAGCTGAAGCTAAAGTCTTAACATTTCCAATTTTCTGACAAAGAACTCATAATACTGGAGACGTGTCAGAACCAAAAACTCCTGCTCCAAACAAAACATTCAGTTTACAACGCTAAGTGAATGCACCACTCTTCCTACTTCCTCATTACCACCATTAATTTCTGATTTGACCCTACCCTCAACCACAAATTCTGTATTTCCTCTGCAATAAATGTGCCCTTGTCTCAATTGTGATTGGTTACATGGGACAGAATCACTGTTTATAGTATTAAATTCAGTCTTTTTCATCTATATATGTAGTCTACTAATTGGTCTTCTAACCTCAGGCCTTTTTCATATTCACTTAAACTTTTTAAATTGGTTTGCAGTTTTTCTTACTTTTATATGAGAGTCATACATAGCAGCTTTAGTGGGAAAGTGTTCCCTAATCTTAAATTTTCTGAATGAATTTGTCATTATGTAGAATTCCTCAACCTGAACCAATCTAAAGCCAACTTTAACCTAGAATATGCTTTTGCTTTTAATATTACAAATTCAATATTAAGAATAGATACAGGGTTGTATTATTCTTAAATGAGCTTTGGTGTTGCATGTTTTTAAAGGATTTGTTTTGTCTAAATTGCTGCATTGGTGTGAAGTTAATAATATCCCCTTGTAACATGTAAGATCTGTAGGATGTCTCTCATTCTTAACACTGTTAACATATTATTCTTTTTATCTAGATTAGTTTAGCAAGAGATTTTCTCAGATTTTTGCTTATATCTATTTTTTATTTCACTGATTTTTGCCCTTTAGTATTTATTTTCTGCTTAGTTTTGGTTTAATTCTTTAATTCTAGTTTAAGTGTGAGCTGGAGTCATTCATTTGAGAATTTTATCAATATTAGCATTTTTATTTTCATGAGGCTGCTTGTCATATGCAGCAGTGTTGTTCCACATCTCTCCGTACTTCTTGACAACATCACTTAATGATAGGCCACTTGTTCTTCTTTAATTTGGGGATGATGCTCAGAACAGAACAAAAAGACTGATGGAGGTCTCTTGGGTGCATTGGAATCCTTGAACTTTTTACCCCTGTTTTAGGAGGGATATGGGTTTTTATTTCTCTTTGATAAATTTCCTTTAGCAGAATCCTTAGAAAATGCAAAGTTGCCTGAAGCATCTGGGTGCTTCTTGTGTTCCTCCTGTCAGGTCTGCACAAAAAAAATGCATATGATGATGT